ATGGGCTTTATTTTACACATTTATATCATTTTTGGGACTAACCTACTAGCCGGAGGCCCAGCCCATATTGCTGTTTTTTTGCCTATTTCAGTATTTCGAAGAAAAGGAATATCAAACGGAGTCCAAACGGAATGAAACCTTCGGGAGCGTGATTTTTGGAACGAACCTGATCCGGAGAGCTTGGAGTGCAAGTCAAGAAGCTCCCGAGGACCCCACGAGATAGGGGTCGTGCCCCCCCCCCTGTAGGGCGCGCCCCCTATCTCGTGGGCCCCTCGGGCGGCCACCAACGTACTTCTTCCTCCTATATATACCTACGTACCCCGGAAACATCCAGGAGCACCATGAAACATAATTTCCACCATCGTAACCTTCTGTATCCGCGAGATCCCATCTTGGAGCCTTCGCTAGCACTCTGCCGGGGGGGGGGGAATCAACCATGGAGGGCTTCTACATCAACATCATTGCCCCTCCGATGAGTTGTGAGTAGTTTACCACAGACCTACGGGTCCATAGTTATTAGCTAGATGGCTTCTTCTCTCTTTTTGAATCTCAATACCATGTTCTCCTTGATCTTCTTGGAGATCTATTCGATGTAACTCTTTTTGCGGTGTGTTTGTCGAGATCCGATGAATTGTGGGTTTATGATCAAGTTTATCTATGAGAAATATTTGACTCTTCTCTGAATTCTTTTATGTATGATTGAGTTATCTTTGCAAGTCTTTTTGAATTATCAGTTTGGTTTGGCCTACTAGATTGGTCTTTCTTTCCATGGGAGAAGTGCTTAGCTTTGGGTTTAATCTTGCGGTGTCCTTACCCAGTGACAGAAAGGGTTGCAAGGCACATATTGTATTGTTGCCATCGAAGATAACAAGATGGGGTTTACATCATATTGCATGAGTTTATCCTTCTACATCATGCCATCTTGCTTAATGCGTTACTCTGTTCTTATGAACTTAATACTCTAGATGCAGACAGGAGTCGGTCGATGTGTGGAGTAATAGTAGTAGATGCAGGCAGGAGTCGGTCTACTTGTTATGGACATGCTGCCTATATAAAAGATCATGCCTAGATAATCTCATAACTATGCGCTTTTCTATCAATTGCTCGACAGTAATTTGTTCACCCACCGTAATACTTATGCTATGTTGAGAGAAGCCACTAGTGAAACCTATGGCCCCCGGGTCTATCTCTTATCATATTTGCTTTCAATTTACTTTTATTTGCATCTTTACTTTTTGCATCTATATTATAAAATACCAAAAATATATTTATCTTATCATACTATCTTTATTAGATCTCACTTTCGCAAGTGGCCGTGAAGGGACTGACAACCCCTTTATTGCGTTGGTTGCGAGTTCTTAGTTTGTTTGTGTAGGTGCGTGAGACTTTTGAGGAGCCTCCTACTGGATTGATACCTTGGTTCTCAAAACTGAGGGAAATACTTACGCTACACTTGCTGCATCACCCTCTCCTCTTTGAGGAAAACCAATGCAAGCTCAAGACATAGCACGTACTGTCAGGTAATTCATTATCCTTTGGAAGCTTCTTCTTCAATATTTTCAGTAGCTTCTCAAATCCTTTGTCAGGCACAGCATTCTCTGCCTTCCACTGCAGCAATTCCAATACGGTACCCAGCTTTGTGTTGCCATCTTTGCAATTGAGGTACAACCCTTTTTTGTGATCCTCTAAAATGTGATCGAACTTCAGCAGCTTCGACAATGACCCGGCGGAGATCATCATCGGGCACATCGTCTGGTTCCTCTTGATCTTCAGCAGCTTCCCCCGTTGCAGCATCATCGGGCACATCGTCTGGTTCCTCTTGATCTTCAGCAGCTCCCCCTGTTGCAGCATCACCATATTCAGGGGGCACATAGTTGTCATCGTCCTCTTCTTCTTCGCCGTCTTCCATCATAACGCCTATTTCTCCGTGCCTCATCCAAACATTATAGTGTGGCATGAAACCCTTGTAAAGCAGGTGGGTGTGAAGGATTTTCTGGTCAGACTAAGAGTTCGTATTCCCACATTTAGTGCATGGACAACACATAAAACCATTCTGCTTATTTGCCTCAGCCACTTCGAGAAAATTATGCACGCCCTTAATGTACTCGGAGGTGTGTCTGTCACCATACATCCCTTGTCGGTTCATCTGTGTGCATTATATATAATTATGTGTGTCAAAAGTAAGAAAATCAGACAAATATCTATCTAAAGTAAGAAAATCAGACAAGTATCAGAAAGAAGATAAGAACAAGAGGCACCACTGCCGGTGACGAGATTGGCGCGGGCGATCAACGACGGTGAAAACGGGGACGGGGCGTGACGGACCGCTAAATCTAGACAAATCTCGGAAAAAATGGAGCTTCGAGGTCGAGCTTCGAGAGGAGAAAGCTTAACTAGTGTGGCTCGGGCATTTCATCGAACACCTCATGTGCATAGGAGGTGAAATAGAGCACCCAAATGCCCTCTCCTCGCCGGATTGAAAAAACAGAGCACTGTGGAGTGCTCTGCCGCGGTGATGGATATATATAGGCAAGTTATTTGTCCCGGTTCGTGGCATGAACCGGGACTAAAGCCCCCCTTTCTGTTCCGGTTCAAGCCATGAACCAGGACCAATGGTTGTGGGCCAGGAGCGAGAACCATTGGTCCCGGTTCGTTGCTTGAACCGGGACAAATGGTTCCACACGAACCGGGGCCAATGCCCACGAGGCCCTAGGCGCTCCTCTAGGCTCACGAACCGGGTCTAATACCGGGACTAATGGGCTGGCCAGACCCGAACGATAGCCCTGTTTTCTACTAGTGTCAGTTGTGTACTCAAAACATACATAGCATAAACTACATGAAAACTAGTACAACCATCCGATCCAAGTCACAAGGGTGGTGTCCGTGAAGAAAGTACCGTTGTCGGAGTAGTAGTCTATGTGTGTCGTATAAAACCTTGTTACCGAAGAGCGGAGGTCACATCATGCCATCCTGATAGGACTCGGACCTCAAAGTGTAGGCACCCATTGCTTAAATTCTAGCAAGTCCACATTTGTGACACCTCTCAAGCCCATGGTGGCAGTGTCGCCCACTCACTACCTTAGTGATGTTCGTTTGCACAATGGCGCGACAAGTCACTTGGGCCAAAGCGCCATGCCAGAATGGAGCAACGGTATTTATGGGAGGAGGCAGGCACCTGTTGCAATTAAAAGAAAGTTTATAAAGCTAAGTGACTTGTCAGTGTTGCACATGCGCACATGCACGTCGTTCACTCTCTGTTTCTTTTGTTTTTCATCAACTTAGATGGGCCATCATGATGTAGCTGATGTAATGAAGTGGCCAGCAATACGAAAGTGTTCATCTGCTCCGGAGCTCAAATGAGTTTGGGTGAACAGTAAAGTCGAAAGAACTAAAAAATATTCAAACATCTGCTCCCTTTGACAAATATTTTCTATGCTTGAAAATTTTCGTCACGAAATGACATTCATGGAAGTCATGGCAAAAAAAAAAACAAATTCAGTACTCCAAATTGCTTTTAAAAAAATAGCATTTTTAGAGTACCGAACTTCTTTTGACACAACTTCCATGAATTCATGATAAAATTTTGCAAGCACATAGAACGTTTGCCAAAGGTTACAAAACAAAATCGGATTTTTTTCATATTTTTTTTTTTACTATTTTTCCTGATTATACTATTCACCAGGAGCATTTAAACTCGGGTGCAAATACTCCACGAGGACATGTAAGGTTGTCACTTGATGACTGATAAGGCATGATTTTCCTTGACAGTATAAATAAGACATGCTTAGTGCAACCACTTGGCATGAGTGGTAAGCTATATCAAAAACAACGAACAAAAAAGACATGTTTAGTGCAACCACTTGGCATGAGTGGTAAGCTATATCAAAAACAACGAACAAAAAAAGACATGCTCAGTGCATATTCGGAATGACACAATTTCAGTGCGAGTAGCTGTTTTTTGTTTAGACGAATGAAGTAGCTGCCATGTAGTCTACCTCTATTCTGATTGCAGTTCCAGGTTCTTTCTTTTTCGTGAACAGATTGCAGTGCCATCAATTTCTTTTGTAGAGAAAATCAAAAAAATATCAAATGGCGCGGCTTTTCTTTTTGAGGGGTATATTTTATTTTGAGGGAATTTTTAGGGGTATACGACGCGGCTAAAATAAAGACCTCCAAAATCTGGCGCTGTCGATCAAACAGGCAGGCCAGCCCATCTAAGCACTAGCAGCAGCCCACGAGATGTGAGATGGGCTAAAACCCAGTCCAAATGCATCTCTCTATCACCTCGTTTGTGCGAGAGAGGAGGAAGGCCTGACCTACCACTACCACCACTACCTTTCCGCCGCCGTCACTCCTCTTGCACTGCTCCAAAGGAGAGCTCCCAGCCGGCGGCCATGGCGGATCCTCCTGCTCTCCTCCCTGGCCTCCCCGATGAGATCTCCATCTGGGAGATCCTCCTCCGCCTGCCCCCCAAATCCCTCCTCCGCTGCCGCGCCGTCTGCCCCGCCTGGCGAGGCGCCACCTCCACCCGCGACTTCCTTCTCGCCCACCACGCCCGCCAGCCCACCCTCCCCATCCTCCGCGGCTACAACAACGTCAACGGCCTGTCCCTGGATGTCACCCTCTTCGACCACCGGGCGGGGGTCACCGCCACCGACCGCCTCCAGTCCGTCGCGCGGCTTGGAGTTGGGCACGCCCGCTTCACTCTGCAGAGCTGCTGCGACGGCCTCCTCGCCCTCTCCATCGACGACGACTCCTTGTGCATCTGCAACCCAACAACTCGTCAGTATGCTCCCCTCCCGCTGCTTTCTCAATTCCATCTCATGGGGATGTACCAGCACACCCCTACCGGCGACTACCGACTATTGCTGGCACCTAAGGAGGCTAAAGCTCAGGATGGCGCCTACATCTACACCTTAGGCTCCAGCCAGCCGCCGAGACGCATAGATATACAGTGCCCCCATCTGGACCAAGTGATATAGTGGGCCTCCGGGATTGTCATGTTCCATGGTAGCCTCCATTGGTGCATACACAACATGATAATTGTATTTGACACCACCGCCGAGTCGTTCCGGCAGATGCGCGCTCCAGTTGATCCTGACGGCGCTGACATTTTTGAGATGGATGGAACACTCAGCATGTCCATCTTTAATGATGCAGCGACATCCATTGATATCTGGATGGCACGGGACTACGAAAGCGAGGTCTGGGCCTTGAAATACCGGGTTAAATTGCCAGTTGGAAAGCTTACCAGTCAGTTTAGAATATTTGACGAATTTTGGTGGCTCGTGGTCATGTCTTCGGAAGGTGATGTGCTTGTGCTGGTCAAATTTGGTGCGTGGGTACTTCAGATTGACGTGGATGGCAAGTTGGTTGCTAGTATACATTGCGGAGGCCTCCGTACTACTCGACTCCGGTTCAAACAAACTCTAGTTTCACTTACATTCTTTCCAACACTAGAGGGTTATGTTGTGAACGCTCCGCCTTTCATTTGACCAGAAGATTATGTCGTGAACAATTAGTCTTTCATCTGAGGGACGTTGAGTGTGTTGGTGCTTCTTATCGGTCTAGCTCTCCGTATCCACATGAGCTGAAGTATGTATTAACTGGATCCACTATGAGCCCGCTATCTTCTTTGTTGATGTTCAAAAATTATGATCAAGAAGCTCTGACTCTTACATGCTTGCTTTTATATTTCACTGAATATCCTTTTCGGCTGAAGCGGCCTCTGTGAATGTTGATGCTAAAATTACAAGTCATTTGCATCAGCGTTTCTAATATTTTCAAATTGCCTAGACTAATGTCCATGTTTTCCTGAACTGAAGAACGGATTTTTCTTTATATAATAGCCTTCGTAGTATGCAATACTTAGCAATTTAACTGCCTCTTACCTCTGTTTAAATGAACTGTACAATTAACTAGCAAGGCATGTGTTTCCTGTTTCTCTGTGCTGTTTTAACAGATGATGAATGGGGCAGATTATATCCTCCTTGTTAACTAGCAAGCTGCACCTGATTTTTTACAACAGCCCGTGGCATTATTTCAACTGAAAGAGAATGCATTATAATCAACTATTCGATGAAATGTTCTGTTGCAGCCCATTGTTGTTCATGATTCCATTGCATCTGGTTAGGTATTGAAACATACTGTTATAATTGTGCCATTGTGTTGCATCATTTGGAATTACATTTATCATTTCACTTTAGCTGGTAACCATTTTAAAGAATCAATGCTTCACTTGCTGTTCTACCTTAACATGTGCTCGAGAAACGGAACTTGTACTGATGTGCAGAGCCATGTTTTTTTTTCCTATGACCGGCGCATTGCGTATGAATTGGGTCCACTATGAGATGACTAGTTTCTTTTTGATGTATACAAGTTATGATCAAGAAGCTCCGACTGGTTCATGATTTGCGTGGATAATTGTGTGAGTATCCTTTTGGGTTGAAGTGGCTAGCATGCTGATGCTAAAATTGTCCAGTCTCTTTGTTCAGTGTTCAAAATAGTTGACCTGCCTCATGTCTCTGCTTTTCTCTGAACTGAGTAATTGCCTTGTTTTTTTTATCATGGCCTTCTTCTTTCTTAATGATCACCCAGCGGTTTTCTTAATAACTAAATATTGAGCCAATATACATCAGTTTCCTATTTCTGAATATTTTTCTGAACATTTAAATGTGGCTTATTATCCTCTCAGGTTGAAGAGAGTATCTTTATGTGTTGATGCTCAAATTGCCAAATTATTATGGTGCGCATATGAACATGTGCAAACTGATCTGTCTCATTGGCTAAACAAAAAAACTGATTTGTCTTAGTGAGGAGAAGGGATCAGCCGAATGCTCCATCTATTGTGGTTGATGCTATCTTTTGTCTGTGTGCGTGATTCCTTTCTATTACCTCTTAGCAGTGCAGTCTGGTGCTTATATTTTCACCCACTTTTGAATTCTATTCCTACAACTGAATCTTTTAACATATATCCTACCTTGTTGTTCTGCGTAGGCTTTTTTATTTTTGCAACGCCTCTTGTTCTCGGCAAGAAACAGGGTATGGATTTGCTTACCAATGATCGGTGGAACTGCTGCACATTGCGGTTGGGCTTGAAACAGGGTATGAATACAATGTGTCACCCCTTTTATTGTTTGCTCATCTATATGTTGTTCCTTGTTGGATTTCTGGGATGATTAGTAGAGCAACTGCTATTAATAAGAACTTCAGTTGTGCTTTGCAGCAAAAAATCTGGGACACGATTTGTAGTTGCTATTGCTATATGGGTTTGGTAGATTCAGATGTCCACCTGTTTCAGCCGGGTAGGTGCTGTACTTCTACAGTTTTACCACTGTATTCTGTTAAGTATGCGTTCATTGGAACGTACTATGAAATGGAACAGAAAAAATTAGACATGGACTCAATCTGGAGAGCTCACAATGTCCTTGTAATGCTACAACAGCAAGCAGGGAACACTGGTCTTTCGAACCAGCCACCATTCAGTGCGCATGGTTGCGATGAGAATAAAACACTCGCAAACACGGTCCAGAATCAGCCATGAGCGTAGCATTTTGTGGCCCTCACCAGAGCGGAGATTTGGGGGAGCTGGACATCACCAGGAATTACGCCTCAAGGCTCAAGCCCATCATCTCAAGTTCACCCTGATCATTTTCCCTTTTTGGGGAAAGTTCAATCTGATCATTTGTTACTGCGTGTATTAGGTGCCACTGCCCAACGACCCGAGTCGAATTCCCAGAATTGACAGGTGATGCACAGGGTTTCCCCCGTTTCTTGAGGATCAAACTTGATGTGTGGTTGAACCACTCATCAAGAAATATCTTGATACTCATTTAAAAAATTCTGAAAACCATGTTTATCTTGGTACTCATACTAAAATGGCCGTATGCATCATTAGTTGGTGCAGAGGCCGGCAAGTGAAAATCTCCCCATTTTAAAAGGATGCGGCGGCGCCGCCGTCTCCTCCATCGGCGACTCCATCGGACTTCATTTGCGATTTTTTGAGTGTTGGGTACGACGAAGACGACGTGGCTTCAACCATTGACAAGATCCTTCCCGTGGATGATCCGGCGAGAGTCGGGCTTCATGCAGGGGAGACGACGGAGATGTTGTGCCGAGTTGTTCACCGGCGAACGGCGGCGACGGCGGTCCGGCCCTGGAAGGTCCATTGCTTAAGGTCTGTCTTCCGAACTTGACCCTTTTTGATATGATTCAATCGGATTCATGGACTTTGGTCAAGAGACGTAAGAATGCTCGTCGGAAAAGATCTCGATCGGCGCCCGAGGTGACCGCGGCATCGTCGCCGGCGGTCACGGCGATCCCGATCCGAGAGGCTCGCCAGGAGCGTCTGATTTCGCTACTGGGCCGAGCTGAGCCGCAATCTGTTGGGCCGGTGGGTATTATTGGGCCAAGGTTTGGTGGGTATGAGGCCCAGCCGGACTTGGTTCCAATCGATACTGAGGGGAGGGGCGCATGCACGTTTTGATTGTCTTCGCCTACTCCGTCGCCACGCCCTAGGGTTTTGCTGCGTCGAGTCCCACGCCTGCGTATTGTCGGACCTAGCCGGGCTCGCCGCATTCTTCCTCTCGGCGCGCTGGCTGGTTCTGGAGGCGCGAATCCTCCCGGGAAGCGGCCGCCTCCGCCTAGCGTGGCCAGTCGGGCTACTGGGGCAACGCCGCCGGGCCAAGGCATTGGCCAGGGCGCGCTGCAGCCGGGTCGCGCTGCCGACGCCGGCGTCAGGAGCTGGTCGTGGTGGCGTGCCGCTCCCCAAGGCCGCTGCGGGACGCGGGTCGGGTGGCCCTGATGCGGCGTGCGGTGCTGGCGGGGCGCCCATGGGGAGGTCGCCGGCTTCGGCCTTGCCGTCGGGCGGGCAGGGCGGACCGGGCTTCGGTCCTCGACCAGTGGCTCCAGGCGGTGCTACAGTGGCAGCTGCGGGCCGAGGGGCTGCACCACCAAGGCCACCCGTGCCCTCGGGTCCGATGCCTAGACCGGCTCCTCCTCCCCACGTCGTTGCTCTCCCGGCTCCGTCGTCGCAGTCCAACGGTACTGTGGCTGCGCCCCGGAGTCAATGGGGGATGACGGCTACGATGCTTATGGGGCTAGCCAATACCGTGGTTCTTCGTTCACGGGTGGAGGTCTTGGTTATGCATGGCAAAGCGATGGTTCGGTTGAGAGGCCGTTCTTGGGTCCTTCCGGTGGCTTCGTTGAGGGGCCTTCTGGTTCGGGTAATCGGCAGCGGGGAGGTTTCCATGGCCATCGTGGTGGTCGGGGCGGTCGAGGGGGCCGGTACCGTCCACGACAACCGCCCACACCTGTTGTTGTCGAGCAGACGACAGATAGCGAGGCTGCCGAGGAGCCAGTGTTGACCGGTCACGCTATGGAGGTGGTGACGGCTCTTGCTACTGTTCAGGTTCCTGAGAACGAGGTTATGGCTGATGTGTCCATGGAGATGACGGACAAGGTTGAGTCTGATTGGGCGTCCAAATGGGCGCACAAGTAGATGTGGAGACAAGGGCCACTTCATTGCGGAGTGTGTGGCTCTGTTATGTGATACCTGCGGTAAGCCAACACATGACTCTGGGGACTGTCCGATTCTGCGAGATCAGGCGCTGTCACTTATGATGTACGGAGTTTACTGTGCTGAGCTCACGTTTTTTGAGTCTCCGAATGAGAGAGAGGTTGCTGATGAGACCTCGAGCATGACTACGGGGATTGTCAAGGTCACTAAAGGGGAGGTCTCTAAGGCACATATCGTGCAGAGGCTTCGGGAGTTGGCCCCCGGGGACTTCCAGTGGGACCTGGTCAGCCTCGCTGATAAGTTGTTCAGAGTTGAGTTTTCTTCGATGGAGGATCTGCAGAGGTTGTTGAGTTTTTGGATGTGTAAAGTGCCAGGAACTGATTGCGTCCTTGAGTTTCATGAGTGGAAGCAGGTAGAGCCTCAGGGCAAGCCGCTTACTCAGGCGTGGTTGCGTTTCTTCGGGGTCCCCTCCAAGCCGTTGCAGGATGCTCGGGTTGTGGCTAGTTTGGGTATTTTGATGGGAAAGCCTGAGCGGGTGGATATGGCGTTTACCAGAGCTCGCGGGATTGCTCGGGTTCTGGTTAGTATTCTGAACACAGACTTTGTGCCGGAAGTTGTTAAATGGGCTTATCGAGGCAACATTTATAGTCTGGTTATTGAGTTGAGGATGAGAGCCTTTTGGCTGCGGAGGCTCACAGGTCTGATGTGGATATGAACGAGGGTGATGGCAGCGCGAGAGCAAAGGAGCCGTCGGTCGATGAATCTGGACGACAGCAGTCCAAGGGATCGGGGTCCGAGTCCGCGACGACTGAGGAGGGAGCGGCTCCACCTTCCTCGGTGCCTACAATGACTTTGAGATTTGGGTCCTTCGAACCCGCTTCTGCACCCCCGAAACTGTGGAGCGATCGGGTGGAGTCCGAGGAGGCTTCTGAGCTTGCGTTGCCTGCTTTGGTTTTTGAGGATACTCTGTGTACTAGT